TATATATATATATATATATATATATATATATATATATATATATNTAAAAATAAAAAATTAGATACTACTGAACTGAATTTAACAATCCATTTCCGCATATCTCACAGCCTTCATTATACTTTTATCGTTTGTGCAATATAACTTCCTCATTTAACTCAAAAACAATTGCGCATGGAAGAGCAGCAAATATAAAGGCAGTGAACCTTCTCACCACTCAAAAAGGATTTTTGCACAGCAATGATAAAATATTCATCAATGGTGAAAAAAGAGTTTTCATACACTATGCACCTATGAAGTGAATCTGCATGGCTGGACTATATGAAAGTACTCTTAATATTAGCTTTAGTAATCAGAAAGCAAATTTTCTCCAGCTAAAGATTCCAAAAAAAAAAAAAAGGAAAAAGGAAGCAACTTTCTCTAGTAATATACTAAAAGGTTAGCAAAATATAATTAACAAGATATAAATGAGTAAATACCAAACCAAGAGGAACAAAGCTACCACACCATCTAGCTAGCCATGGAAAGTAAATGACATTTTTTCAAGGAGAACCTCGTACTTCATTACAAGAATTTTATTTTAAGGGAAGGTGTTTGCTTGAAAGTTGCATTCTAACATTCCACGAATAAAGAAAGAAAAAGATTTTCAGAAAAATAAACTAACCATTTTTCGGAGTTTTATTTATACACACATCAATCCAGAGCACTTGTATATGCATTGTTAAATACATCTAGTTACAAAAATTAAATCAAAAGACCTCTAATTCTTTGATTGCAATTACGAAGTATACAATGAAGGAAACCATAAAGAATGAGCTTGAATCACCCAAGATACCTTGCTTGTTTCTTGGTGGACATTTCTCCTTCAAAGTCTCTGTAGAATTTCAGTTTCCCTCTCTATGATGTTGTCAATGTTCTCATTGTATTTAAATTATTCAAATTCTTCCCATTATTCTGTTCCTCTATGTGAATTCATCCTTTTTGTCCAAATTCAAACTTCAGAAATGGTGGGAATGATTAACATGACGGCTAAGAGAGAGTGGACATTTGGCTGAAGCACCACTGACAAATGCGATGATCCCCTTAAGGAACTTGTCGTAAAGTGTCAATATAATTCAAATGCTCGAGGACATAATTGCCAAACATTCTAAAGCCTCCCTGTTTAGTACAGTTAGCATTATTTGACAAAAAAAGGCCCTTGATGACTTCATATTGCGGTTCAGAGTCAAGACGCCTATTTTAGCCATGGTTTAATATCAATTTCTAAGCTTTTTTGCTCAAATTTATGTATGGTTTTACCATTTTAATTCATTCTCTATGGGGTATACTTTGGTATATTTAGTCTGAATTTTATCAAAAATTGGCTCAAATTTATGTATGGTTTTACCATTTTGCTACGATTTCGTAGGTTATAATGGAGGCACAAAACAACAAGGTATCATTTGAGTTGTCCATTGCTCCACTTACCAACCAGAAATACCTACAATGCTTGAACCACAAGAACATGCCTCTATAATAAATGAAAACCAACCACCCTCCTGTAAAATTAGGTTGCAGGAGGTGGTTCAAAAGGCCGGCGAGCCCCTCCACTCATATGTCATATATGAGTTTTGTCCCACGTGCTACGGTATTTAAGACCACAGTTATTATTTATGGTCGTACTTTCCAGAGGAAGGCTTCTCGCACAAAGAAGGCTGCAGCCCGAGAGGCCATGGTTTTCATTAGCCTCAAGCCATCTCTGGCTCAAAGGTTGGATGAAGCCAAGCAAGAGAATGACGCCCTTAAGGTTTAGAACACTAAGCTCTCGTGGTCCCTTGATTCCCAGCGTTCTTTACTGAGAAGTTTGAGACCGAGTGCTTGCAAGTGAGGCATGAGATACAAACTCTTACAGTAGAGCTTGATAGGCCTCTAATGCTTAGCTTGCAGCTCGTCGTGTTGACCCTCTGAGCCCCATTTCTTCACTCGACCTCTTCATAGAGGATCTCCCTACCCTGTAGCCTTAGCCTAGTGCCATGACTTAGAAAACCCAAAATATGACCAGTCAATAAGCCCAAACACACAACACATGCTTATCAAACTAAGATAATCCGAGATGGAAGAAGCAAAGGAGGGTACCCAAAATATGACCCAGCCATGAAGCCCAAACACATAACACATGGTTATCAAAATAAAATAAGCCCTACACGATGGAAGATCCTCCATGAAGAGGTCGAGTGTATAAATGGGGCTCGAAGGGCCAACACAGCTAGCAGCAAGCTAAGCATTAGAGGCTACTAGCCCATCAAGCTCTATTGTAAGAGCTTGCATCTCATGCCTCACTTGCAAGCACTCGCTCTCAAACTTCTCAATAAAAAAACGCTTGGAATCAAGGGACCGTGATAGCTCAACGTTTTGAACTATAATGGCATCATTCTCATGCTTGGCTTCATCTAACCTCTGAGCCAGAGATGGCTAGACGCTAATGAAGAGCATAGCCTCTCAAGCTGCAAATTTCTCAGCAGCCTTCTTTGTGCGATAAGCCTCGCACTAAAAAGTACGACACAAACAACAACAGTGGCCTTAAATATCTTAGCACGTGGGGGACCGAACTCATATACGACATATTGTGGAAGGGGCTCCCTAGCCTCTTGAACCACCTCCTGCAACCTATTTTTATAGGAGGGTGGCGGGTTATCTTTTGGGACATGGGCATATACTTGGGGTTCAGGCTGTGCAAGTATCTCAGGTTGGTAAGGGGGATCAATTGACAACTTAATTGACGCCTCATTGTTCTGTACCTCCATTATAACCAGCCTTTTTGCTATGATTTCATTATCATTTAATTACTTGAATCAACGTTACTGAGATTGGGATTGAATTAGATTCAAGATCAGGATCGGGACCACATGATCGTGGCAAGTAGGAAGCGCACTATGGAAGGGATCGTGGTCCATAAACCCTGAAAAATGGGGACCCATGTCCAATATTTGGGGAAGTTCAAACCAAACTAAATGGGGATCAAATGATAAATTATATAGGACGAAACTCCATCTAGCTAAAATAAAAACCCCGAGAGCACTTAATTAGTATCGTAGTATAGTATACTAGTATGCCAGACCCCACTGCTGTACAATAATATGTTGCTATACTATTCTGCAATAGTCTTGAACCAATGCCCCGTGTTTTGACCACAGTACAGATTATTCAAGTGTAGGGCAACTAAAAAATGCCCCAAACAATTGGTTTATCACCAATATTTGGATTTTAAGCCATCCTCATCACTTTTGAACTTTACTCAAAGTTCATTGCTTCCATCACATGACTTCTGTAGCCATATGGCTAAATACTCTTTTTTTTTTTTTGATAGCGCATATGGCTGAATACTCACTCTGCCCACATTCTCACCAAGATTAAGGACTTCTGAATTTTTTTAGTGCTAAATGCACTGGCCTGTGCTGTTTTAATCACGGTTAAAGATTTAGGCATTTTCTTTGATACAAAAACCATGCAAATAGAAACGAAAGGTAAGGGACCATATTCAATCTGGTAAATTATGGTCCATAGCATTTGATGAATCGAAAACTTAAAAAAAAAAATTGCAGGTTTTAAAGAATTAATACAATAGTAAAACATGATTTAAGATATATCAGTTTTCTCATAACCTTGTCTGTTAGATTTTGTGCGTAAAATATTCTTATCATTTCCAGATGTTGCCTAGATTTAAGAAATGTTGCTCAACAACTTCTTAGCCTTTAAAGGTTTTTCTGGGGAGACATTTGTCATAATCCAACATTTGCCAAATTATTAAGAAACAGTTAAAATGCTTCTTTTGAAGGTTTAACAATCCTATCTCCTTTTACCTGCTACTCTTGTCCTCTATTTAGCTGCCCAAATCAACTTTAGTGCCATCTCACATGAACTTTGCCTCTTTACCTCCCTCCATGTATCGATTATTAAAAATTAAGTAAAACAACCAGGAGTGACATAATATCTTCCTCCCCTTTGCTTTGTCTCCTGACTCCTCCCTTTCCATATAATATAAACTCTTTGCCTATCCCCTCTCATCATCTCTCTAATGATTATCATTATAAATAAAACCTTCTCTGCCAATCTTCCTTTTTTTGACAAAGTTACATAGGAATGGAACTTGAGACGTTGTACTATAAAAACTCAGCTGCTGCTGACCCAAGCCCGATTCCTTTCTCTGCCAATCTTTTTCCATAAGATTAATAGCTCAACACCCTTTTACAAAGATTCTACAAAAACCTGAGGGAACAGGAACAACATGAGACGGAGAGGGACATGGTCTAAAAACTGGGGAAAATCCTCAGAGACATGGAGTGCAGGAATGGCCTAAAATTTCCCATATACTACTTTTCATGTTTCTCACAAACCTATCTTTAACACAACCATCACAATGAAAATAAACCGCTTTTTCCTGATAAGGGGTTCGGTGAATCCTATAGACAATAGAAATGACAACCAAAAAGCCACTACCATAACATTGTATCAAGAAGCCAGAAAAATAAATTAACCTTTCCAGAAAAATTCCATTGTAAATTACAGAAGCCACTACAAACACTAGCCAACTCAATCGGGAATTATGAATAGGATGACTAATTACTCATTATTAATTAACACTAATATCATAATACATTACCCTTTCCAGAAAAATTCCATTGTAAATTACAGAAGGCATCCCCACCAAGGATATATAGTTAAGAAGCAGCATCAGATAATTAACTCTTGGGGCAGACTACAATTTCAGCAAAGGTCCAAAACAAATAGCAATGTGAAAGTACAGAACATGTGTTTCACATTCTCAAATATGACAAATGGGATGAGTATTACCTGATAGAGGAAGCAACATAAACTGTCAAAGGACAGGTGTCATGGGAAACAGCTCGAGTAGGAGTCCTCCAAAGAACATTTAAGTATTTCAAAATAGCAGAAGGATGATCACTAATGACTCTGACCTTCGCATCACACCTTGGCGAGGATCCAACAGCCCCATCATGAACAAAGATATTTGAGGTAGATGAAATATGAGAAGTGACCTAGTAAATAAGAACGCCAAATTCATTAGTTTATGGGCACATCAGGAAGTCAATTGAATCATTTAAGAAGGAATCAACAGCTAAATATGTTTATTAATCATAGTCAATGTAACCTACTGAGTGAATAGGATATTGGATCTCAATAGAAAAACCCCCAACGAACTAAATACAGCTGTAATAAAAAATTACAACATCAGCTTATCAAAGTTCTCATATTTAGCAAGCCCAGGTAAACATGCAAAAAAATGTACAGCAACCAAGGCCCTATACCCTCATATATAGCGGCTTTTGCCATATTAAATAAGTGTATCATCATATTCCTCCTATGTGTGTTACCTTGTAATAGTTCATGACAATGGCACCTTATAGCTCATGTGTGGACACCATCCAACATACAAACACCCAATTGTCATAAACTAACATGTTGTATCTTGCCATAGACTAGCTGTGTGATCACACTTCAAAACTTTTTGTAATCATACTCATTGAAGAATCCAGTCAAACCCAAGAGCAAACCAAGAGCAGATTATGTTTGCTCGAGTTAAAAGTAAATTTCAGAATGAAATAGTATCTCTTACAATACCAAGATGGCTTAAAATTGATTTATAGGGGAAATTGAGGTAATGGAAAGCAGCATACCTTGAGAAAAAAATACTAACTAGGGAGCAGAGATTCCATCCTCAGCAGCTCAAATGAAACCGTCAATTCTCTATATCACAAGATAAAGCTTGCACATATTGACTCTAAGGTTTACGGTGAATGAGGCCCTTCATCCATGGATGGAAATGAGGATAGAGGGACGAAATTTAGCAAGCAGGGGCTGTTATGTCAACGAGGCAGGGTTAGGGGTAGAAAGTCTTTTAGAGGGGTAGCGTTAGTTAAAGAGGGGCAATGGGAGCAAAACAAAAAGGTAGAAGATCTATCCCTCCAGGCATCCACTGAACAAGTATACATGAACTAACTAACCTGCATTGCAACAGACTAATAAATAGAACAACATTATTCATCATACTCTGCTGTCTTCCACAATTACCACCTAACAGATGTCGATTCCAAACCAATTTAAAATAGAACCTTGGGAAATTTTCACAATAGTACGTAACAAACTATGGCTATCTACACTATAGGCTGATATGAGATGAAAGGACATAATGTAACAAACAGTGTATCACAAGTAAATTTCAGTAAAAAAAATAAAAAAACAATCCAAAAAAAATAAAAAATAAAAGCCACATACCAGTTTTAAGAGTTTGTTGAATTGTGCTTTTGAAATTTCATGAGTCCCTTGGGTGAACTTTCCTCTATAATGGATAGGGAACCCAGAAAGATGCTCTACAGGAAATTCAAGCAAAGTCACAAACATGCACACATCTGGAAAAAAAATAATGAATGATTTATTCAGTACCTGAAGGTACTGCACCATACTTCTCCAGTTCAGAAGACTTCAAATTATAAAATGCTTTGTCCTTTACAAAAATGCCTCTCGCAGAAAGTGCCCAATTAAGACCATAAGAAACACCTGGGCCCTCCCTTTTGCAATAAAAAAAGCAAATGATTATAAGAATGCACAAGCTCCCCCTTCTAGAAACAGCAACATAAAAATTATGAATATGAAAAGCTAGTCACTGTTGCTACAGGTGTACCCTCAGTAGGTACAATGCTAGAGCTCGTAAATAAAAGGACAAATCTTTCTAGTAAAAATTTAAGTCGAAATCCGAATCAAACCATCTTAGTGAAATAAATAAATAAATAAAGTCCGAGAAAACTCAAAATATTCAATTATCTGTGAAGAACAGTGGGTCTGCTTGCTACAGTCAGCAATTTCCAAAAAAAAAAAAGTGGGTCATGCTTGCAATAATACTCCAATTAAAATTACAGATTAATAATTAATAAAAAAGAAATGTATAAACAAACAATCAACAAACAGAGTTTCAAGAGAGCTGAAAGTCAATCTTATGAAACCTAAAGGAGCAATAAACAAGAATCAGGTGAAAGATTTCCACTTTGAATAAATGTTTCAACACAAGATCATCCGAGAATGCCACAGTCCATACGAAGCAACATAGAATACCAAAATCCTGAAGAAGTTCAGGATAAAGAAGTCAAGCACTCAAAGTGAACTTTTAATTGGTGTATTACTGTGGAAATATCACAGACTCAGTATCCTCTGCCAAAGATGCTGAAGCTGCATGCTGCACAACACAAGATATATAAATGAAATAAAAAACTAGATGAGAAATATAGAAGGCATACCATAAATGAATAACTAGACAACCGGCTAGTTTACAGGCAAAGATAAAAAACTAAAATATGTTATATTTCAAAGAAGAAACTTCTCCATGTAAACATTAGTATGTTGCAAGGTTTTAAAGCTCTCAAAGTCACTACTCTATAACAAAGAAAATTTGAAAGAAAAAAAGAAGAAATTTCATTATAAACTCCAGCTATTCAACCATAACATCAGATCAATCAATAAAAGGCAGCTTGATCAAGCTGTTCAATAAACATATAGTAAAAATTTTCACATCCACAATTCCTTGACTAAGCGAAGTTGACCCAAATAAGCGAAACACAAGATGGCCAAATGAGAAACTTATCACAAAATATGTGACTGTTACTTCGACTTGGCAAATTGATAGAAATAGTCGACTGAGCCATTACATTACTTGCTTGAGTCATGCAAGGCTGAGGTATATGTTATAGAAAGAGACAATAAGAAAAAGTATGAATGAACTGCCTCCATAACTTGCGTTCAACAATAATTTATAGGAGGATGATAGTGGAAGATTAGTGACACAAATTGAGGCTCAACTGTATAACAGAGCCACAATTGAACTCATCTAGTATTAGAATACATGTGAACCCTTAACATTTAGCTGTCTATGGAGTTGCTAAATTGAAGAATCAAAATATACAATAATCATGTCTCTGAGGGTAACCACTCCTTTGCCTAGTACTATAGCTCACGCGTTTTTTCCACTTCATAGTTGGCAAGCAGCAAGATGTATTCTAATGAAAAACTATTTCACTCTAATTTTCCGCCAGTCACAAAAAATCACCACTATTTGCATGTGGATAAGAGACCAGATGGGAGCAGTCAAACAGGTTTTTGACCACTCTATACGCAATACGCATTTCAAGGCAGCACCAAAACTAGCCCTAAACATTTCACTTAAAAGGAAAATGATACATTTCAAGGGGAACAGGTAGACTACAACTTAGAGTAACGATTTAATCCTCATGCAGCATTATTTTAGAACCGGTTTAAAATATAAATCGATAAAAATATAAATATCTCAAATTCGATGAAATTATTTATTTCGACCATTATATCATCAAACTAGGACGCTCAATAGCAAGTTATTGGTCAAATGTGTAATTCACTGTAGGCAAAGAAAGACTTTTTAATATACTCATGCTAAAAACTCTTAAATACCCCAATGTAATTTTCAAGATGGACATGTGGACTAGACTAAAAGGACAAATGTTCATCTGAAGCATGATAACCATCCATCAGATTGAGCTATCAGCAATAACAAAATAAACTCGTTCAACAAAATAATATGTTCAATTGTTTTAGGTTTTTTCAACAATAAGCTTTCCAAGATGGACATGTGGACCAGACTAAAAGACAAAGCATGATAACTATCCATCACATTGAGCTTCAGCAATAACAAAAGAAACTCCTTCAACACAAGAAAATGTTCAATTGTTTTAGGGTTTTTCAACAAGCTTAAAATGTAACCCTAAGTATTTAAGACATTCATCAAATCATACACCCGCAAAAAGTGACACATAAAAGGGGTATAAGCATAAAGCCAATCGTCGGATAGGGCTAAACCCACCAGAATTGCAAAAACAAAACAATACACTACGTAAACCACCAGAATTGCAAAAACAAAACAATACAATACGTAAATAATAATGAAACTAGATTAAATATTTGAATCAATAACCCTAATCAACATACTTAACTCCCCAAAACGAAAAAAAAAAATCGAGAATAGGATGCCAAAGCTTAATTTCGTGAACTGACATTCTCTAAAATATAAAAGTGGGATAAAAGAACTGGACTCACGCGAGAGGGTACAAGACTCCATGGCTGAATGCACCGTGCAGCCGATCTGCAAGCATTCAAATGCTTCAACATACCACTTCTCATTGTCACCCTGACAAGCGCACGCTCCTCTCAATTTAGTGAGAAGAAACCGCGAAATGATCTATGCAACCTGCAGTACAGAGAAAATGACGAAAAGCCCCACTTGGAAAAGACTCCTCTCTCTCTCTCTCTCTCTAAATGCCAGCCACTATCCCATGCACTATACAAAGCCTTTTAGCGTTCTCTTTTTATCGGGTACATGCCCTACACGCTTGTTAGAGTCAATTTATTTTGGGAAAAGAGTATTTCCGGGTTGGGATGGGACGAGTAATGACCCTTTTGTGACACTCACCTCTTTCACTTGGCCTAAATGCCTTCGTTGTTGTTACATGGAGGTAACCATTACTCTTATCAATCGGCGTCAAATTGGATGGTATGTCTTGCGAAGTTCAATAAATTTGTTTTGAACTTTGAGTCCGGTTCATGATATATTAATAATTACTTCAATCGAAATTCAATAGACAAGAGTAATTATGACTTCGAAATCTAATTGACAAAAGCAGTGTTTAAAAAACGCCGAGTTGAAAGAAATCGCCATGGACGGATCGAATCGACGAAAAAAACACAGGAATCGTCCGGTTCTAGAGAGAACTGAACGATTCTGAACAGCGACTCGCCGATTCACTGTACGGAATCGGGGCGAGTCCCCGTACAGTGAATCGGCGAGTCCCGTATGGATTTTTTTTTTTTTTTTTTTTTTTTGTTATTGTAATCCATGATCGAATTTTTTGTAATCCATGATCGAATTTTTTGTAATCCATGATCGAAATGTTTGTTTTTTTTCTTGTAATCCATGATCGAATTTTTTGTTTTTTGTTTGTTTTTGTAACCCATGATAGAATTTTTTGTAATCCATGATTGAATTTTTTGTAATCCATGATCGAATTGTTTTTTTCTTTTTTTGTTATCCACGATGGAATTTTTTGTTTTTTTATGTTTTTTTTTTTTGTAATCCATGATCGAATTTTATGTAATCCATGATCGAATTTTATGTAATCCATGATCGAATTTTATGTAATCCATGATCGAATTTTTTGTAATCCATGATCGAATTGTTTTTTTCTTTTTTGTAATCAACAATCGAATTTTTTGTTTTTTTTTGTAATCCATGATCGAATTTTATGTAATCCATGATTGAATTTTTTGTAATCCATGATAGAATCTTTTGTAATCCATGATCGAATTTTTTGTAATCCATGATCGAAATGTTTTTTTTTTTTCTTGTAATCCATGATCGAATTTTTTGTTTTTTGTTTGTTTTTGTAACCCTTGATAGAATTTTTTGTAATCCATGATTGAATTTTTTGTAATCCATGATCGAATTGTTTTTTTTTTTTTGTAATCCACGATGGAATTTTTTGTTTTTTTATGCTTTTTCTTTTTTTGTAATCCATGATCGAATTTTATGTAATCCATGATCAAATTTTATGTAAGATCGAATTTTTTGTAATCCATGATCGAATTTTTTGTAATCCATGATCGAATTTCTTGTAATCCATGATTGAATTTTTTGAAAATTTGTGATTTTTTATTTTTAATCCATGATCGAATTTTTTTTTGTAATCCATGATAGAATTTTTTGAAAATTTGTGATTTTTTTTTTTTAATCCATGATCGAATTTTTTTTTGTAATTCATGATAGAATTTTTTGAAAATTTGTGATTTTTTTTTTAATCCATGATCGATTTTTTTGAAAATTTGTTATTTTTTTTTTTTAATTCCATATTATTTCAAAGAGAAAATGAGAGAGATGATGATTCTGAGGCCACCCTATCCCAGCCATATTATTCACATATCGAGTCCTAACAGCAACAGTGTAAAGGATGAGCACGATAGTGCAGGTAAGCATGAATGATGGACAAGCTTCGGGGATTTTAGATTGGGAACACAACAAAACACTAACACTCAGGGATTTGGGAATAGTCAGACGCCTGTTAATATCGACGATTCGTTTTTAGATAGAATCAATGAATTGTTAAACCAATTCAATCAATGGCACCAGCGTGACCAAAAAGAACAATAACGCCGTCTATCATTTTATTTTTAGATCGTATATTACTAATTTTATGCTTTATTGTAGTCCATGTATGTTGATATACTTATTCCATGATAATTCTATGTTTATCCTTTTGTGTGATGTAAATTAAATGCTAAATGGCGGTTGATGCAGGGAAAGAACATATCAATATTCGCATATTCATTCAAAAACATGAAAATTCTTAATGGAGTACCTTCATTTCTTATTGAATTCCTAAAAAACAATATTTAAAATAAATTTTAATAATTTTTTTCGGATTTTTTTTTAAGCTTTATTCTACCGATTCACCCGATTCTCGATCCGAATCACCGATCCGGATTGGTTTTTTGGGTGCCCGATCCGGGTCACCGATCTGTTTTTTAAACCATTGGACAAAAGTAATTGTGATTTCTTTGCACAACAAGTAAATTATATGTTTTTGACTTTTTTAAGAGGAGCTACTACTTTGTAATCCCCAAGGTAAAATTTTTGGAGATTTATATTAATATCCCCTTAATTATGCAATTTACAAAATCCTCCTTAGAATTTTATTTTTGCATCCATACTCATTTTTCTATATATGTATATATATATATATATATATATTTTCAAATTTCCTTTACTTCAGACCTTAAAGGCACATTTAGTTAGTGTGAAAATATTTATCTATAAATATTTTCACGTGAAAAATCGCCTCTTATAATTAGATGTGGGAATATTTTTACACTAAATAGCTGCCAATTGGTGTGAACGGCTATAATATGACTAATTGGTGTGAAAATATTTCCACACCTAACCACATGAGGGGATTCTTTCACATGATAATGTTTCTCATAAAATACTTTCACACAAAATAAATAAGATAAATAGAGAAGATAAGGTAGTTTGGAAAAGTGAGAGTGATGGTTTTTTTTCAGTCAAATCAGCCTATAGACTTTTCTTTCATGATCGAGTTAGATGGTCCTTGGAGGGCATTAATGCTATCTAGCAATGGCCTATCCCAATGAAAATTCAATCCTTCCTATGGGTGACCCTTCAATAAAAGTGCCTTTTTCCTTTTTTTTTGGGTAATTAAGTGGGGATGACGAGCCCCTACCCATTTTTAAAAATCATCAGTGTTTTTTTAATGTATTAGATAAGAATAGAAGTATAGATCTTAGCTAGGGCACAAGTGGTGATACCACCATGGCCCCAACCCCATTCTCGAGACAAAAAAGTATCTTACTCTAGACAATCTTCGCATTCGGGGTAAAATTGTGCCTAATGTTTGCTTTATGTATAAGAATATGGAAGAGATTGGTTCTCATCTCTTTTTATACTGTCCTTTTGCTGATTCAATATGGAAATGGGGTCTTTTATTTGCTTGGTTTCACTTGGACGCTACCTATCAATTTAATTTTAATTATTAATCATCTTCATATCCCTTCCTTGCCTTTTAAAGATCTTATTAATTGGAAGATTTTTAAAAGTGGCATTATCTGGTAGATGTGGCTAGAAAGAAATAGAAGAACTTTTGATAGAATGTTTTTTGGACATATATAGTATTAAAGATAAGATTTTGCAATGCTTTTTAAGGAAGGGCATGGGGTTTGGAGAGCGGATATTTTTGTTAATTTGAAAGTTTTTGCTCTCTCATTTGTGCCTAAAAATAAGTTGGTCTCTGGATGCCTCCTCTTGAAGGTTCTTCCAAATTAAATTTCCATGGCAGTTCTTTAGGAAATTTGGGATCAGTTGAAGTTGGAGGTATTCTCAAAAATCATAGCGGGTCTGTTATCTTCTCATTTTGACCTTGTGGGTCCACCACGGTTAACCAGGCTGAGATAGTTTATCTCCTCCATGGTTTGCAAACCATTGTCAATCTAGTAATTTTGGGAATTATCTTTGTTAAAGGATAATCTGTTAATGTCATAAATTGATGTTTGTTTAGCAAAAGATCCGTTGGACTCTTCATACTTTTTGGCTGAAAATCATTGATTTTTGTGGGCTTCAAGTTTCTTTCTCTCATTTTTTTCGTGTTGCCAATGCTTTAGCGGATGGCTTAGCTAAACATGAAGTCTCTTGTCTATATTTGGTGCTTTGATCCCAGCTATGTAATCAATATGCTTTTTAAGCAAACCATAAATGAAAGTTCATAATATTGTTCAAAAGAAATAAACATGCCGTAAAGGTTCGAAGTTGAGTTTTAAGTTCTCGACAACTTTTGGCCTTTAAAAAGTAAAGTTGTCGATTGAGGACCCTTGGAATGAAGTTGTCAATTTCGGACCTTCAAAGTCCAAATTATTTCAAGGAGAAAAACCACTCAAAAAGGATTCGAATTTGGTCGAACAACTTCAAACTCTCGAAGTGTCTCAAACTTCAACTTGAAAATGTCCCAATTTTCAAAGTCCAAAATCGGGGCAATTTGATAAAAAAAAAAAAACGAAAAAAGAAAAAAATGATAGGATGTAATAACAAAATAATGGTGGGAGAATTTTCAAATATCGGAAAATATGGGGTATCTCCGCCTAAATTTCTCTAAAACCTTTTTATGTCATAATATTTTCAATCTATATCTATACAATACTCTCTATATTCCTCAATGTCAAGAGATCCCACAGGTAGACTCGGGACGGGTAGGGTCACCGGATCGACGCACCGGTCCGAGTTTAGAAATCGCTAGGGGCTGGTTACTTACCACAAAGTAAAGCTCAAAGCTGCTGCATATAAAAAACGATAACCCTTACTCACCATTGCTGCCGAAACGTGACAGCGAACAGCAGGAGGTAATCCTAGTGGTGCACTTTCTCCCTCTTCTTTGCTTGGTTTTTCATAACTTTGGGAATCAGAGGTACCCACTTTATAGTTTCTCTCTCATCCTTGTTTGTTTTTCTTATCGCAAGAAACTCTGTTTAGTAACACACATTCTCTTTCAAGCTCATTTGAATCTTGGAGAGCTAACACAGTCTGACGATATTTGTTGCTAGATTTTCGCTAATCCTTGTTGGGCCTTTCCAAAACTTGATTTAACAATGTTAATGTACAGTTTCTCGATCATCGTTGCTTGATTTTTCCATAACTTGGGTAACCAGTGATCCTAGCACACAGACTCTCTTTCTCATCTCTGGTTTTAGTTTTGTATAACTTGGAGTCGTCGTTCACATAAAAACCTGGCATCGACAATGGGGAAGAGCGCAAAGGATGATACTGATTCATCTGATATATTCAAAACCCTTTTTGGAAGCTCAGAGCAAGGTGGCCTTTCCCTGTTTTCTGATAACCCCTTTCGAAGGAAATCGAATTCTGGTTTTGTTGAATTTGATAATCAAAACCAACCCAATAATGGTGATAAGCGTAAACTATCTCAAATTAGTGAAGATGATATTGCTGATGTGGAGAAAAAGAAGAAGAAGAAGGATAAGGGCGATAAACCCAAATTCGATCAAATTGGGGCTCAAGTTTTTGATGAAGAATCTACACAAGTAAAAGAGTTGGAGAATAATGTTAGTGAAGAGAATGATGGTACTACGCTGAAAAAGAAGAAGAAGAGAGAGAAGAGACTTGATGAATCTACACAAGTAAAAGAGTTGGAGAATAATGTTAGTGAAGAGAATGACCGTACTACTACGAAAAAGAAGAAGAAGAGAGAGAAGATTGATGAAGTTATTGAAACCATGATGAAGGAGAAGAAGAGAGAGAAAGCTGATGAAGTCGTAGAAACTAAAAAGAAGAGTAAGAAACCAGTCGTGATTGAAGAGGAGTACAAGAAAAGACATTTTGGAGAGCTTCATAAAACTACAGGGAAAAAAGAGGACGAAGAAGGTGGTGTTAAGGCTGGCAAGAAAAGTATTGCATTGAAGGATAAATCATCCCAATCCAGTATTCTGGAGGGATCTAATGAAGATGGTAGTAAAGTGGATGAGAAGAGGAAAGCAATGAAGGGTGATAAATCCACAGATCCCGCTGTTTCGAAGGAATCATTTGATGACAATGATAAGCTTCAGAGGACTGTTTTTGTTGGGAACTTACCATTGAAGTTGAAGAAGAAAGCTCTTTTGAAAGAATTCTCTCAGTTTGGGGAGGTGGAATCAGTTAGAATTCGTTCTGTGCCATTAGTAGATGTGAGTGTTATGTGCATTTATTTTTCAATTTCTTGTGAATATGTATATTAAGATATATGTGGATAATTTCATTTGAAATTTTAAGTTTTTTTAGTGAGGGACTGGTATTTATTGAAGGGATTTTTAATTCATTTGCCTTGTTCTATTGAGCAGAGCAAGCTACCTAGAAAGAGTGCAATACTCAAGGGGAAGATTAATGATGCCGTTGATAGGTATATGTTCACACAACCTATATCCAGAGTTGATGATGGATTTTGAACTTTTGCATAGGGTTGCTTTAACTTGTGCTAGTTGATGGAGAACGCTTGCATCATATATGTGCTTGAAGTAGATTTTCATCTCTTTGTTCACACAACCTATATCGAGAGTTGATGATGTATTTTGAACTTTTACCAAGGGTTGCTTTAACTTGTGCTAGTTGATGGAGAACTCTTGCATCATATATGTGCTTGAAGTGGATTTTCATCTCTTTGTTCACACAACCTACATCGAGAGTTGATGATGGATTTTGAACTTTTACAAAGGGTTGCTTTAACTTGTGCTAGTTGATGGAGAACTCTTGCATCATATATGTGCTTGAAGTGGATTTTCATCTCTTTGTTTCTCTTGGGATTATAGAAGTTCAAACTTTAAGTATTGGTTTTATGTTTTTTAATACAAGGTGATGCTTATGCTCTTTTTGTTTGAAAAAGCCTGAAACGAATCTTAGTTTTTGGTCTTTGCACAGATTTGAAATCCAAAACCATGTCCTCTTCTTTGAGAGCCTGTTTTCTCTATTAAGGAAACCACTTGAATTAACTAAAAGAAAAGAAAGAGAGCGAAGAAGAGAACAAGGAGGTTAACCACCCGAATGATTTTATCAGTATTTTTTACCGCATAACTTCTACACATGCATACATTTACAAACACATTGACAAGTTTACACTTGACACATACGATGCTTTTCTAAAGCTTTATTGCTTTTTGTCAATATAGTACTTTGGGATAAAAAGCACAATCTTAAGGCTCTTGGTCTTAGCTTAATGTGAGGAGTTGATAAACATTGCTTTAGGTGTTTGTTTCTTAATATAGGAAGTCTTATGTGTGAGTAGGGTCTTCATCATCATCATCATTATGAAAGCCTTTTTCGAACTATTTGGGGTCAACTACAGGAATTATGGTCCGCCATTTTGCTCTAGGGCTATACCTATGAGTCCCTATATCTTTTTGCACTACTTTCAACCATGTCTTTTTGGGTCTACCCCTTGTCTTTTTTGAGTCTTCTACTTGAACCAATTCGCACTTCCTAACAACTGTTGTATTGTGTATGCGCTGCATATGGCAAGCTTTACCTAAGACTGCTTTCTCTCATCTTATCACCTATTGGAGCCACACCTAATTTCTATCTAATGTATTCATTTCAAATTCTATCCCTTCTTCTCTTGCCACTCATTCATCTCAACTTCCTCATCTCAGCTACGCTCATTCTATGGACATATTTTTTTTATTGACTGCCCAACATTCTACCCCATAAAGTGGAGCTTATCTCATAGCTGTTCTACAGAATTTCCCCTTCGGCTTCATTGGTATGCGGTGATCACATAAAACTCTGGTTGCACATCTTCGCTTCACCTACCCAGCTCTAATTCTATGTACGACATATTTTTTCAATATCTCCATTTTCTTGTATTATTGACCCAAAATTTATAAAATGTGCTCTTTTTGGTATTTCTTGGCCGTCAATCTTAACTACTTCCTCTTTTCTACTCTTATTATTATTAAACTTATATAAATCTGGGAAAGGGCATGGGGTGGTGGTGGTAGCACCCCCACACTATAGTCACTACGTTGTGTTTTCTATTCCCATTGATACCACCCCACTAACACCTTAAAAAAAAGTCTTAAACTATTTGAAAAAATGGGGCTTGTCTTCCCCACTGAATCACCCAAAAAAAATAAATTATATAAATGTGCACACATATTCACATACCTACTCTATTTATGTTATCAACATGCATTAATGAAAATACATTATCTCGTATAACACATACAAACTATATCATTTGGAAACTTGTTTCTAGCAAGGTGAACATGATTGTAACAATGTATTGTTATGTATATTGCATGCAATATCTGGTATTGTCTTAAATGGATGATTGCACACCATACTTCCTTAACTTGATTAAACCAATACTTCTTAGGAATTCCCTTACTTTAAGTGGTTCTAAAAAAATGATGGGATTGTTGATCAAGGAATTCTTCTTATGCCAATGGTCCTCTGGAGTCTGGCATTGTTCTTATCTCCTCCCTAAAACTCTTTGATCTTCAGAAGCAGTGGATAAGATCTTGTTTCATGTAGGAAACACTCAACCAAGATTACTCATAGAGTGGACGAGTTTTATAGATGAAAAAACTTTGATTTGTTTAAGTTTTTCCTTCTATATAATTTTTTATTTTTTTGAGGTAAGTTGATGGTGTGTGTGTGTGTGCACCCTCAGGAGCGTGTGTTTGTGCATGTGTGTGTGAGAAATTTTTTTATATAATTTTGAGGCATGTAAAGGAAGGCAACTTCGAATTGTTAAACTGAACTCCAATTTATTCCTTTTATATAATTTTCTTTGCCAATTTGACTAGAACTTTGGATCAATTCTTCTATCAATTCTCGCCGATCATTAGATGCTTGATCATACGGAGGGGGACATTAGACTATTTAAATATTTGTATTCCTATATCCAAACAGTTAATGCATCAAATTGGGCTGCATTTTCTCCAGATTTATTTATTAAAGCGAGTGCATTTAACCCAAAGTGCGTTGCGTTTTGTTTCCTGAATGGTAACCTTTTTGGTCAAGTGGAGATGATTTTGCTGAAAGCCATTAATATGTACCTGATTAGTCTAAGGAGGAGTTATTAAATAAGTAGAATGTTAGTGGTAATTTGTTTTTCCAATTTAATAGTTTACAACTGTGCAGCACATCAATATAGTAATTGTTTGGGGCTTTGGAACCATGAAACATAGAAACACGTGTTTGAGGGTCTAACCACGTGTTGACACTTAGTGGATACAGACACGCATGTTGACACTTCCAATATTGCATAAGACACTTTTATAAAGTGTCTAATGGTGTGTCCCTTTTTTGGACACTTTTTATTTTTCGACTTTGGCGTTTCTTTGTTTAGAAATTTCATTACTTAATTTATAATATTTTATTTTAAAAATACAAAATATTTTAGAATAATAAAAGTTCAGAATAAAAATACTTTTTATTTTTATTTTCTACTGTGGGTGGAACTGGTGTGATCATATGGTTTTGGATGAATACATTAAGACCTTATTTAATAGTCATGCAATAAGGGTGCTACATTTTGAATTAATAATTAGCTAATAGTTTTTAGCTTTTTTCTATGTTGTTTTGGCAAAACCTTGCATTGGACTAAAAGAAATTTTTGATGAATAAAATTATGATTCACAAAGTAACATTTTTTGGACTATTTATTTATTTAATTTTTTCTGTGATACTTTACTATTGTTATGACATAACGTATGAATTGTTGAATATGTAAATGCAGTCATACACAGTTGAATTACTCATGAATTTCAATATATGTATAGACATGCGCATATATGTAGACACCCATATATTATATTGACGTTTCATGTCTAGATGTTATTTGTTTGGATTCATGTTTCTGACACTCGCATCCGTGTCACAAATAAACACGCGTGTTTGTTTCTATGTAATATGGGTTTGTAATATCCATTTTTTTTTGCAGTGTCCATGCGTACATTGTTTTCAAAGATGAGCAATCAGCAAAGGCTGCCTTGTCACATAACATGGCAAAGGTATCAGAGATGATTGATGATAATTTTCATGAAAGTCTTATTTTGCTGCTTTTGTTTTTCTTTGGGAAATCTTTATGGTTGTTGAGTAAAACAGATAACCCATGTTCTTCCATCTTCCATATATAGAAGTTTTTATTTTTCGAAATTTTTCTATCTCATCATCTATATGCAGGTAGGAGACAATCACATTCGTGTGGATAAGGCGTGCCCTCCTCGTGGTAAACTGGAAGGACAGAATCCCTCCGTTTATGATAACAGAAGAACTGTTTTTGTTGGCAATCTTCCTTTTGATGTGAAGGTAATCATCTTTACTATAATAGAACAAATATTTTTTATTCGCCATATTAAAGGGGGGAAAAAAGAGAGAAATCATTACTTTTGATTGGATTTCCCTAGCAGGGATTATTTTCTGATGAATATTTGCTAATCTTGTGTGCAAGTTTTCTCATTTCTCCAGGATGAGGAATTGTATGAGTTGTTTTCTGGGATCAAACAACTGGAATCCAGTTTGGAAGCCGTGCGAGTTGTTAGAGATCCCCACTTAAGTGTGGGAAAAGGCATTGCCTATGTCATGTTTAAAACATTTGTAAGTTTTTTATTTTGTTTTTTGACAAATAACTTATCGATTTCTAAGATGCTAACTATTTGGTATTATTGCTATACTATTGTTTCTGTCAAACTTCTGATTTAGTTTATGGTTCTTTCTTTCGGCCCTCAAATCCATGAATACCATATGCATCCTGCTGTTGGTTGAATGATAAGCAATTCTAATCATCATATACTCTTTATCTTCATTTCCAATAAATACAATTGGTTGCAATCTTTATGCCATACATTTATGATGCAGTTTCAGCGAGAGTTGAAACTGATGGACATGTAAAACTATCTGTATTGTATTTTTTAAGCAAGACCAGGATGTGTGTGGTGTGTGATTCATTTTGTTTATGGGGGCTTGTTTTAGTTCATCTTCTTGCTATATGAGAAATATATTATTAAATATGTTGTAATCTTACATTATATCATGGATAGCTAGCATCATAACATGAGAAAAAAAACATTCAGGATGCGGCTAAGATGGCCATAAAGAGAAAAAATTACATGCTGAGGAATCGTAGCCTGAGGGTTTACCATGCACGACCCGAATCAAATCTCAAGAAGCAAGAAAATAATCCAAGACAGATTCATAACAACTCAGACATGAGAAGGTCAAAGGTCTCTGGTGATGAGCCCCCTGATGGAGAGAAGAAGAAAGATAAAAAGGAAAAGGCTGCCTCTCTCTCCTACCAAGGTCTTCGTGCAAGCCAATCAGACCGCCCTCCTCGAAAAACTCCCATTTCTTTGCCTGAATCTATTAAATTGAAGACACCCAACTCAAAGAAAATGGCAGCAAAGGAACCAAAACTGCGGCAATTCAAAAGACCAGCAGTTGCAGCAAGAAAAGCAAAGCAATTGCATGAACTGGGAAAGAGAAAAGCAGAAAGGAACAACAAGCCGCTTAAATATTAGAAAACAAGGAAATCTCGGTGAATGTTGTTTGGTAATATTCTTTTGATGTTCTTGGCGGATACATTAACTGTTTCTTGACGTCGGGTATGCTTCAATTATGTGTCCTTTTGTTGTTTTGTAATGTAATATTAAAAAAGAAGTAATTGAGAGCAATAGAAAAATAAGACAAATCATTTGTCTATGCTTGATATGAAGAACTGAATTGGGGGGGACCCAGATGCATCATCCTCTTGGACACCAACGCTTTCCAATGAACCTTGCAATTACACTTGTTTTATGAAATTTCAAGTTTTTATTTTTTCATTTCTTTTTTCTAAAAATAGAAGTATCATATATCCATCTATCTATTTATCGACCTTTATGTGGCACATAACTAGAATGGGACCGCATGGGCAGATAGATTCTGGGGACCTAATAAGGGGCCTACGAAGTGGAAGTTTAGGTAACCTTCCTCGTAATCTTATTCAATACCTATCTCTTCATTGGGAATTTAATTGAAAATATATAATAAGAAATCTTATTGGAAAAATGAAACTTTCCTTCGATAATTTATATGTATCATCTAATTTACAAACATTAAGTCGTAGTTAATGGGATTGTATTACTATTTAAGACCATTCATTTTTGGTACGAGGTCCCAGTAACTCTAGGCTATTGGATATGAAATCCGACAGGTTGAAGTGTTATAAAATTTTAAAAATTTTATTTTAAACTTTGTGCCGACTTAATGATACATCCCCAACTAGTTGATTTCATCAATAGTACATCCCCAATTCCCCGTTCACATCCAATAGTCAATAACGATTGTATCCACTTATACCTGAATTGAAGTAAATAGTAGGGCTATATTCATTTCCATGGTTAATAGCATGAACATATGGCATTTAAGTACCCTATGGAGAGAGAAAGATTGGAGTAAGTTTTTTAAGGTGTCCCTTACAAAGTAGGAGTTCTAGGTATCTTACTTTCTAATCTAATTTAATTCGTATCTCTTCTTGTATATTCGTAATTTGCTTGAAAATGCGGTATAAGAAATCTAATGAGCGAAAGGGAGTATTCCTTGAATAGATCTGAGAAGTTCATATGTTCCTTTGGGAGCAAAATGGATAATTTTAGGATCCAGAATTTTAGGGAAATGACCCGCACAACCAGTGACAACTTCGAATAATACTTGAAGCTGGTTATATCATCTTGAGAAAAATGATGCCTGAGGATTGTGCACTGGTCATCTTTTCTTGGATGGTCGATCATGTTGTTGAGATGCTCAAAAAGGATTTCTAAAAGCTACACATTATTTTTACTGCAAAGAAATTTACATTTTGTACGAGTAGGTCACAATCAATCTTGTCCCTTAAATTTCAAAATGGATGGTTATAAGAATGTTATTGAATAGACACAAAATTCTCAAAAAAAAATTATCGGATTTCATGACTTACTACAAGCCATCTAATTTGACATTGAATGAGTAGAAATGATTGTGACTTCCATGTACAAAAGATAAAAGGTGTGATTTGCACAAGGATAAGGTGCATCTCTAAATTTTATCTCAAATGTAATTTTGATATAAGAAATTTTTTGGATGACTTGATAATCTATTTTCATATTTAATTATAAATTTTTAAACTCTAAAAATGGTTCAAATCAAGTAGATCTAGAAACACATGAAAATATTGAAAATAGATGGTTCAGATAGTGTGTTGCAAGATACACTATTTTGTGGATTCGAAAGCATTTTTTCTTTTCGTATTCATACATCATGATATCGAGATGAACAATTAGAGGGTTTTCCAACATCCAAACATGATGGATTTTTTATGTGCATCTTTGATTTTATATTTTGAAGTTGTAATCTTATATAAAAATTTTCCAAATATAAATAGTCTCTTTGTAGACAATCCATCGTTTATTTTAAAGTGAATCTCAAAACTTTAGATAAAAGAATCTTCCTAATTAGGTAGTTTGCCTAAGGGTAAAATGGATTTTTTGCTCCTAGGGGAGCATATGGTATGCAAAGAGAGATTCTCTTCCTCCAAGCTTAAACAAGGCGCACCTCTAAAAGTCATAAGATGCAATTAGAGTTGAAAATTTTTAGAATAGCTCGAGAATTTATTTTCATTTCTAATATGAAATTTTAAACTAAAAACTATTCAAATAAAGTAGATCTACTGAAAATCTAAAAAATGGACGGTTTAGATACTGTGTTGTAAGATGTACTATTTATAAGACTTGAAATCTTTTTTTTTTTTCCATATCCATACATCTCTATGTCAACTTTATATAAACTTTTTCCTTTTCTTATAGACAAATATTAAGCGATGGGTATGGAGAGGATTCTCTCGTATTCTAAAGATTATTAACCCTCGTTGAAACCATAATTTCCAAATTTATGTATTTTGATTTTTTTTAAGTTATTCATTTTTGCCATTTCAAAGTAAACCTAATATTTAATGGGTGGTGCTTGTATAAGATTGGCACCCTAAACGATCAAAGTAAAAGGTCAAATAATGTAGTCAGAACTAGAAATCCCTCTGATGTTGTGGAAATATATTTGCATCTCTAATTATAAGATTTAAAGCTTGAAAAAAATATAGAACCAGATCTATAAACACTTAAAAATCTTGAAAATAGATGATCTAAATAATGCATCACAAACTATTTTTAGGATTCGAAGTCCTTTTGGGTCTCACATCCATAGATTTTGAGGTTTTTTGAGTCTTTGAGGTGCGCCGTTCTTTTGTAGCATAAGGGGTCTCACATCCATAGATTTTGAGGTGTTTTTGAGTCTTTGAGGTGCGCCGTTCTTTTGTAGCATAAGGTTGACAGCTTGTACAAAGGTTCCCTTAGTTTAGAAACTCCATTCTTTAATAAAGTGTTGCATTTTTATCTTTTCGAGTTTGTAATCAGACTAATATAAACGTGCTTCACACATGCCCTTTTTTCTTTTCTTTTCTTTTTATTTTATTTTTATTTTTTATTTATAGAAAAGATACTACTGCCCTCGGGGAGAACTATATAATTTTTTGGAAATGATGCTCCTCATTGATGGAAGGGGCAGATGAGCCATGCTCAGAAAGAGAGGATAATTTAAGTATTTGCTATGTGAAGGACACTTTAATCAAGAAGAGAGTTTCAATGAAGCCTGAAAGTGTGAAAGTGTGAAAGACACTGTAAACAAGAAAAGAGTTTCAATTTGAAGCCTGAAAGACTGGTCCTACACTATTTTAAGATGCTTATTCAATTGAGAGAAACAATGGGCCATTCAAGAGTAGAGTGAGAGCTCGACATTTAGGAGAGAGTTTGGCCACTTCAATAGAAGCCCACGTGAAAGACACTGGAATCAAAAGAAAAAGTTTTATTTTAAAGCCTCATAAACTGAGCCAAAACCCATTTTCAACAACCTTCTCTACCCCGATTTCGAGCTTTGAGAGGAAGATCCCAAAATCTAAGACAAATCACAACAGAGCCCTGCTAAAAACACTGAAATCAAGAATCACTAAAAAAAGGTGAGAAACTAAGCAATGGACTCGAAAAAAGGGCCCAAAAGTTTCACATTTTCTCATACAATTCTCCAATTCCTTGACCATTGAAAGCTGGTTTTGAAGAGCGGTATGCGTGTTCATGCGTTAGCCCATCACGCACCTCCTCCCTCTCCCTCTCTCTCTCTCTTAGAGATTGAGACTCACACATACAAACACATACAAACACATTAACAAATCGTACAAGAGAAATTTGAAATGCAATACATAATTAAAGCATTTCAAAGACATTTGACTGTAATGGGAATTGTTTTGGACTCTCTCTCATAAATTAACAAATCAAGTACGAGACTTTGAAAGATTATCTATGACAATTAAAGCTAGAAACTTGATACAACGACATCCAATTGTTACACTTATTCTTTTGAATTTCAATTGATCCAGAATACCGTTCTTCCTGTTATAAAGGAAGATAACAAGTGAAGTGGTGGAATCTCGAAAAGTTATCAGAGTTGAAACAATTGAATTTTTCCCACTTATGGCTATCATGTCTGTACAGGAAGAGATTGCCATGGAGTGATACTTTACATTAAGGATGCCTGCCTTTCAAACTAACAATTACTAAACTTTGCTACTATGCACAGGAAGACAGAAATGGCTCCACAATCATTGCAGCAACAATGTGTTTCTCTCGCCTTAACCCGAGCACACAATCTTTGTATTGGTACCAATCCAATAAAATCAACACGGGAAGTTCTGTACTATCTTTCCTAAAAAACTATAAGGGGGCATAATAAGCTTAATTGCATGGGCATGATTATCTTAATCACGTGGGTATGATCGTCTTAATTGCCCTCCCATGCATATGAATATCTATGCTTCTTTATTCTTGCCGACAAGTGTTGGTGTCACTGATACTACTCCAATGAAGAACAATGTGGCAATTGACTGGAAATCATACAAATCCCCCAACGATCTCAGCTCCCCAAGAGCAAGTCCGGCCTGAAAACCCAACCACATAAACATAAATACAAATTGGAACAGTTCAATGATAGCATTCACCTCAACCATACGGTTTTACGAGTGTGTGCCATAGTAACATGTATGTCTACCTACAAATTGCATGATACAATGACCACTGTCTACATATTCATGAAAATGTATATTTGTTTACGTAAGATGTAAACATGCAAACATGCTCCAATGTGTCCATAGAAACATGTATGCTTATGAATGAACAGGTACGAAACTCACCCTGACTGTGACATAAGCAGCTGGAATCAATCCGATGAAAGTGGCCAAGAAGAATATATGGTAGGGCACGTCAACTATTGGGGAAGCCACATTTATGAATGTGTTTGGCAGAGTGGGGGTCACCCTCAAGAATAGCATGTAGTTTAACAACTTATGTTTTCTTTTAGCCACCTGAAAAACACAAAGCGGGAAAAGGTAACTACAAGCAATGTCTGAAAATTTGAACTCGGTGGCCAGCTCAGTCACTGCCAGAACAGCATCCACTTGCCGAGTCAAATAGTAAACTTGGGAAAACTCGGTGTTCGTTTCATATTTTTTGAGAAGAATCTTATAGAAGGAGGGTAAAAATCATGTACATTCCAAGTTTTCATTCATAAACTTGCTCATTGGATGAGTCGAGCTGACTCACAGCAAGTTTTCCGACTCGAGACAAGCTCTAATTCATTGATTTGAGGCTATAAAAAAACCCAAGTATTTTGGATGATCACCATGGAATGTAATGGTGGACGGGGATGAAGACAGAGTTGGCTTGCTTGAATAATACACGTCCCCAATGGATCCCGCTCTCTCCATTACAGCCCGTGATTTCTCCACTGGATGGTGATGATCCAATATGTTATAGTTTTTCCATAGTCCACTGGGTCTTACTTTACTCTACCTTCTATAATATTGGTAGGCAGGGTTTATACCTGGGCTTGAAAGAAACTTAGTTTATCTGGCCATAGGGAGAAGACAAGTGGCCTCCCAACGAGCTTTGACAAGAAAAAGCATGAAGATGCACCAGCAGTGGCTGTAAAAACAACCAAGGCCACACCTTTTAGGACCCCGAAAAGGGCTCCAGCAAGCAATGACATAAACACAGTCCCTGGGATCATGAATGTTTGCATGAAAATATACACCGCACAGTAGCCCACAAGCACTTGTGCTGTGTAGTCTCTTGTATAGGTCTCGAGGTGACCCCTGCAAATAAGCAAGACGGAAAGAGAATATCAGAAAGGCCAATGTAGATGTTAACAAACTTGAGCAATAGGGATTGCGTTGAACCATGATACAATAGAATTTCAACAGAGGAAAAGAAGAGAACAGAGAAAGCATATGAAATCATCAACAAGGGTGAAAGAGAAACCCTCAAACAAAGGTTTGTGGGTATAGTTTCTCCATTTCGCTGCATTTATCTGTGTGTGTGGGGGGAGTGTTTAAAAACTCGTTGAGTCCAACTCAGTCTCTCCCCAGTCACTTGGGACCAGCACTCTATCGGTACTGAATGACCCGAACTCGGGTAACAGGAGTCTTGCCCAACTCTTGCCTGAGTCTGCCACATTCTGGCCAAGTCTTGACCAGTTGGTCCAAGAGTTGATCAGTCCCACTTGGGACTCACTGAGTTGTACATAAGGAACAAAAAAAAATTCACAATTTCTATTTTATGTAACCTTTGAAGAAGAGGAATTGTCTCCCAAATTGTTAAATTCTTTGCTTTTGATGTGGATCCATGTGTACAAGTTGGTATCAATGAAAATTGGCAAAGCAGATTCTTATCTTATTAGAAATTGTACCTCCAATACCAGTTTAGTCGCTCAATGTTATATTCCTTTTGGTAATGATGGGCAAAAGCTAATTGGGTGACTCAATGATCTCAACAAAAATAATGCAAAATCAAACAAAAAAAAAGGGGAAAGAGATTGATTAACAGTAAAAATATGGGGAAAGAAAATTTGTGCATACTCTGTTAATTTCATGAATCATGAACTCATCACATTCCCTTGAATCATATTAAAACATCACAGAACATCACACAACAAGTCTATGTTCTGAAGTTTTCCTATTATTATTCCCTTCAAATGAATTTGATATCAATAACCAAACTTAATGAAATTGAAAGCATTCCCCTTCAACACCAAAACTAGGTTCAATCATTCAGTCACTTCAATCCATCCAATCCCAATCTTGAGTTTATAAATCGATACAATGCATCCCATATCCATAATCAAATAGCTAATAATTATAGAAAAAAGTAAACAAAAAAAACTAAGGCAAAAGCAAATCAACCAACCAACATTGCACAACAAACCCACGAACTCCAAAAAAAAAAAATTGAAAAATTTCAAAAAATTCGGAGTGAAAATTTTGGACAGAAAATTAGAAATTTAAATGCGCACCTGAGCACCTGGAGATCTTCAAGGCTCTGAGGCAATTTAAGGAAGCTATAATCAGAAGCAGGCATCGTCAAATAAACACAAAAAAGCCCCAAACTAAACACCAAAACAATGGTGAAAGCAGCCACCACCTCCCAAATCTTCAATGGAAAACCAGAACCCACATTCGCCTTCTCTCCAAAACTCGTCTCCACCTCCATCTCCATCTCTCTCTCTCTCTACTAAAAAAATTACACAAGGCCGCTTAAATAGCCATCCTGGTCTGAATCCGACGGCCCAGATTGGGACTCGCGCCAACGACCTCCATCGCAGCCGTCGATGTTCTGCAAAGAAGAAATGAGAGAGGGAGAAGAGGATTGGAAAGGAAGGAGGGAATATTATCTGCAAAGCGCGGCCATACGTTGATATCGCTCGCATTTGTAACGGAGGGGAGGGAATATTCGCATATGACATGTGTAATGTCTCGCACGTGGGACAACTCGGAAAAAGCGTTCAATGATTACCGTACGAAGGCGGCGCATTCTCTCGTGGCCACACGCAATGCAAAGGAGACATGGGATATGAAGAAAAGAGAGAGACGGTAAGATGATGATGAATATGCGGTTCCTTCTCGAATTCATCTTAAAGATGCATTGTTAATCCAAAATTTTAGGGACGGTCAAGATGATCAACAACAAAAATAAAAATTTTAATATTTAAAAAATAATGATCTCATAAGACAATCATGTGAGTTGGATCCCAAAAAATCACTATTAAAATTGTCACGAGTCATTAGAAAAATTGTTATATAAGTACGAAACTTGATTTTTTAAGAGATCCGTACTTAATATTAATGGTGATCTTTTGAAGTCTTACGTAAATAAATGAAAGAAGGTCCTATAATATCATTTCTCATTTTTAAAATACCGTTTTTTTTAAAAACATTTCCATACTGTTTATATTTATTTGAAAAATTGTTTCACGCTTGCTTGACCGCATTTTTATGACATGCCCTCCCAAGTTACAAAGAATATGGATGCAAATAGGTGGTCCATTTAAACACAATTGAAACTAATAGTTCAAATATGTTTTTATAATTATTATTTGTAATTTTTAAAATTTATTTATTTTTCGTACTAACAATCCTTAAAAATTAAATCAAAAAATCTATCTCAAAAATAAATTTTTCAAAAATAACTCATTTCTACGTGGACTCATAAAAACTATGTGCTATTTATTTTGACTCTTGCCTTAAAATTAACAACTTTTATTTTTAGAAATATGGAAATTTAATTTATTTTTTAATTTAAAAATTATCTTATAATTTTTTAAAAAAATTATATAAATATCTATTTTAGTTTATGTTATTACTAAAATACCAAATACTTTCCGTTATTACTAAATTAGACCATTTCTATTTTTGAGAAACCAAGAATTTAAAATTTTTATTTCTTCAATAATTGAAAAATATTTTCTCTCTATTGTGGCATATTCTCTCTCTACCTCTCAAAAGTCATAATTATCCGATAAAATTAGGGGAACAAAGCCCCTAAATTTAAAAAAAAATCTCAAAAATTATGAGATTAGAGATCCTGAAACAGCTTCCTTTTTCTTTCTCTACCCTGCAACGTAGGCTCCTCTCTCTCATCTTTTCTCTCTCTTACAACTTCGCTCTCTACTCCCCCATTACGGGAAATGGCCTTCGTCTCAGTCCCCTCCCTTTCCTTCCAAGTTATAAACTCAATCTCCCAACACTTCTGCAACCACCCAATCTTGCTCCAACTCAATCTCTCAAAACTTTTGCAACTACCCCATCCTGCCCCAACTCAATGTCCCAACACTTTTGCTTCCAACGATGCTCTCTTGGCCTGGTTCAAAGGCCAATCCGCAGCAAAATGCCATTATAGACCTTCTATGCTCTCACTTTAGATTGGTTTTGATAGGCCCTCTCAATATGATTCCATTTTGACTTGTACAGGCCGAGTTCCTCTATCAATATGCTAGGTGAAACTTACCCAAAAAAATCCGGGAGAGAGTTAAAAAAAAAAACCATGTTTATCCTGTAATGTAGAGAGAGAGGTCGAAAAAGAATACACAAGAGAGAAAAAAAAAATTCAGTTGAATAAAAATTTTTGGTTTTTCAAAAACCGAAATTGACGTGATTTTGGTTTTTTAAAAAATTTTTTTTTTTTTTAAAAAAATTGTTATGAAGTGACATATCAGTATATTTTGGTAATAACTTAAACTAAAATAGATATTTATGTAATTTTTTTTAATTTTAATTATAAAATCATTTGTAGATAAGAGCGCACTTGAGAGCATAGAACTTGAGATGTTCGTCCTTTCTCTCATTTTCAATTAATCCTGGCTTCTTGCCTTGAATTTGAAGATTCATATAATTGTTTTAGGAAAAATTATTATACAAACTTTTTAAGTTTTTATTCACGCTTTTTTTTACCCTTTTTTTTTTGTATGTAATATTTGCTGCTTGCCCTAAATGGCCACTTTTTTTATCTATCTTCTTCTTAAAGAAAATGTTATTTGTAAGGAATATATAATTTAGAAATATATAATTTACGTACTCTATGGATGGAGGGAAAGTGAGACGGACAAGCCAGGGATAACGAGGCGTAAAACTTTTGGATCTTGCCCCTAAATTATACTCTTATCTTATCCTTCAAAAAAAGAAATGAATTCTTTTTTCATATTTTAAGGAGAAAGTATTTCTTCAAATAAAAGTTGTTTGTTATGTTGTTTTATTTGTGTTGGGTTTATTTCCTGGCAGGAATGAAATTATTTAAAAAAGATAAAAGTGCTGTAGGCCTCGGGGGACGCATTCCAACATTTACATCCCCCTAGGCATAAACCAAATGGTGGTCCCTCCAAAAAAAAAGATTAAAATCAATGGTCCAAATATTTCTTTTAAATTTATTTTTACATATTAATGATCTCCATGTTATATACTCTCTAAAAATAACGGCCAAAATTCATTTCAAAAATAGATTATGAAGATGGGCTGCATTTCTACATATGGGCCACATTTAATACATATGAGTTCAGGAACACAAAGAAAAACATGCCTTTCATAAAATATGGAGGAAGAAAGTGGGTTGAATTTTGGATCCGGTTTCTATGCTGCATGTAGAACTATGGGCCTATTAATTAATGTATTTTTGAGATATATTTCTGGACGTTTTTTTTTTTTAAGGACATATAATCTCCAACACGAAGATCATAAATATGAAAAAATAAATAAAATTTTAAAACTAAAAATAATAATTATCGTAAAAAAACATTTGGATCGTTAATTTCAATTGTTTGTAAATGGAGACAACATACGTAGTTATGCGGGCCAGGCCGCATGAGACAAATTTCCCTGAATTTTTCCACACCAAGTTATCCTTTCACACGAGCGCGACTCAAACTTGAGAAAAAGGGGTCTCTATTGAATTTATGGGGCCCATATTTATTAGACTTAGAAAGTGAGAAGCGATGCTGACTTAATAGAGTAGAAGATACGGAGCATTCAAGATTATGAAATTTAAATCTTTAAGAATGACGTAGTTCAAGCAGATTTATAAATGCTATAGAACATTCAAGATTATGACATTTAAATCTTAAGAATGTTATAACTATTCAAAAATTTAAAAAATATTACAATATGTACTATTTTCATGACTTTATATTTTTTTAAGTTTTTTTTAACATCAAAACAAACACCTTTTGGTGGGATTTTACGATGCACTTTATTTTCACAATATAGAGTTGACACCATATGTAAACTTTTTCTATATAAAAAACCTTAACAGTTTGAATATAAAATATATTATCATCTTTATTGCCCGGATAGCTTCCATCCCTAAAATTTGGGGTCAAAATATGATTAGGGTTTTGACAGATAAAACAAATGCACATCGCTCCCCCTGGAGCATAAAACCACCCTGTCAGAGTGATAAAATAGAGAGAGAAAATATGCGCCTTACATCTGCTGACAAACATCATTGCCCTAAGCAAGTGTGCCGTCAGCCCGTGACTCTCCCAAGTGCAAGGGCGAGCAACCGGGCCCATAATTTTTTTTAAAAAATGTGAGGTAGCTTTATATATAT